TTTGTCTGTCTCCTCATGCCCTGATTCAGAGACGACAATCTTGGCAGCTGTGTTAGCCCTGTGGTCTTAAATGAGAAAGGAAAAGATGTTTGTCTTTTCTTACCAACCACTCCTGTGGTTCCATCTCCAATTTCATCATCCTGAGACTTGGATAGTTCCACCATCAGCTTGGCAATCTGATGATCAACATCCATCATGCTTAAGATGGTGGCGCCATCATTAGTTACAGTCACATCACCATCCTTATCCACCATCATCTTATCAAGCCCTAAAAAGATAATGCGTAGTAGGTTTTGGGCAAAAAACTGGCAACCAATATCACAAAGTATAAAAAAAGACCTCTTGACCCAGCTCTTACCTATGCAATTTATTATAAACAAATAATTCAACATAAATAAAAAAACAGCAGCATAAAGGCATTTTTAGATTGGGTAACATAAACAACAAAAAATTACGGAACATCATTAAGTATAGTATAGATCTCAGAGACAATTATGATTTGGAAAATGCTAATGAAATGTTGTTATGTGTTAAAAAAAAAAAAAAAAAGGTCTGACCTAAAATTACACACAACTCTAACCATGTTTAAGAAACCTGAAATACGCTAAAAAATTTTGCCTGTGTTAAGGAAGTAAGATGCCTCCCCCCAATATCCCACCTTTCTGTACAGAGGTTTGTATTGACAGTTTTATGGTTTAAATCTTTTGCTAAAAAACACGAAATAGTGGACTCTTACCATTTGGTCCAAGTGATGTTCTCATTGTATTTGCTACAGCCTTTGCCGCCATGATATGAGACTAATGAAACAGAAAAATCGAAGATTGTTACATATAATTTCAATAGTTAAAAGCACATATCTGATGATTACAAAAATCACTTATGACTTAGTTTCTATTTTCTAGAAGCTTCTACATTTGAGAGGCAACAGACTGTTCTAACATTTACAACTCCAGTTTTAATAAGCCATTCTTATGTAAAATAAACAGAACCAAGTGCTTTGTGCTATTTCACTTAATTTTCAAGACATTAATGAGACATTCTTTTACCAGCCCATTTACAGCTGAGAACGGGAACAGTATGACCACGACCTTACAAGGCCATTTTCAACATAGTCCTCCCTGAGTCTCCATGGGGAATTGGTTGCAGGAGCCCCTGAGGATACCAAAATTCACAGATGCTCAGGTCCCTTGAATCTAGGCTTCCATATCTGTGGGTTCCACATCTGCAGATAAGGAGGGGACTGTACCCATGAAGAAGAGTCCAACTGTAAACACACAACATCTTACAGTCACACTATGATTTACTGCAGAATTATAATCTTTTAAGCTGGGTGCGGTGGATATAGCCTGTAATCCCACCTACTTGGGAGGCTGAGGCAGGAGGATCCCTTGAGGCCAGGAGTTTGAGATCAGCCTGGGCAACATGGCAAGACTCCGGTACAAAATAAAAAGAAAAAATGTCCTTGCTTTAAAAATCTTTCTCCACCCACCTGAAATTCCAATAATAATGTCTGTAGATCTGAGTTAGCAACTGGTCCTCTTAAGGAAGGTAAGTAACTGTCAAAGTGATAATTAAAAAAAAGTTACCTGTAACTTTTTTTCTTTTTTTAAACCACATTTAGCTACCAAATTGAGTGATATAATTATTATTATTTTTTTTTGAGACAGAGTCTCGCTCTGTCACCCAGGCTGGAGTGCAGTGGTGTGATCCTGGCTCACTGCAACCTCCAACTCCTGAGTAGCTAGGATTACAAGCAAGCGCCACCACGACCAGTTAATTTTTTATTAAAGCTGGTGTTTCGCCATGTTGGTCAGGTTGGTCTCGAACTCCCGACCTCATGATCTGTCTGCCTCAGCGTCCAAAGGTGCTGAGATTACTGCTGTGAGTCGCAGTGCCTGGCGAATTATCATTTTTTTTTTTAAGGAGAAAGCAAGAGGCAGAAAGAAAAGGATGGAAGGAATTCGGCAAATAGGAGAGATCCCAAAATCCCAACATATACTTTGCTCTAAAGCTCAGGAAAGTGAAAAAAACTTTTTTCTTCCTTCTGTTAGTTCTGGGTATTTCCAGAAGGAAGAGCCTAAACATCAAGGTATAATACATATTATGGACAAAATAGAATTATGCTGGCTGGCCTGGAAACTTAGCTTGCTTTGTTTAGTTTATACATATTTAGGATATGATTCCTTCCTAAGCCAACTAATGCCTGCATTTTTTTTTGAGATGGAATTTCGCTGTTGTCGCCCAGGCTCGACTCCCGGGTTCAACCATCTCCTGCCTCAGCCTCCTAAGTAGCTGGGATTACAGGTGCATGCCAACATGCCTGGCTAATTTTTGTATTTTTAGTAGAGACAGGGCTTCATCACCACGTTGGTCACGCTGGTCTTGAACTCCTGACCTCGTGATCCATCTGCCTTGGCCTCCCAAAGTGCTGAGATTACAGGTATGAGCCACTGCACCTGGCCAATGACTGCATTTTTAAGGTGAAATATTATATGTGAAGTGTTACACAACTGAAGAATCTCAACAAAATACATATTACTTTTAAGGCTCTAAATGACCAGAGAGAAAAAACTGTGACCATTACCTATCAAAACATTCAAGTCCTGGCCTGTACATTTCTTTTACTGTTGCCTTCAATTTCCATATATTTTGGTTCTTCAAGTTAGCTGGATGTTCTGTGAGCTCAGGGAGCAAGTGTATACCCCTCACCTACTGAGTGTCAACACTCAAGCCTACCCACAGCATCCAACTCTTAGATTTAAACACCCAGGTTACTGTCCAATATGAGCCCCCACAGCAAAGAATGATCTGACCCTGAATGTCAATAATGTCAAGCTCGAGAATGCTGCTCTAGACTGCTCACTTTGACTCTGACAGAGGTGGCCTTGAACCACGGCGCTGCTCTTTAACAGCAATTGCCCTTCAGAACAATTTCTCAACTGCTTTGTGCCCAAGTCTCCAATTTGGTAAAATAATACCTATCTCAGACAGTTCTGGGCACAAATGCATGCAATTAGAACAAAATGGCCGATGCAAAACGACCTATAGCTTTAGTTATGTTGTTATACTGGGTGTGTGTATTGGATGTTACTTTCTCTGCAGGTCCCTCTAAGTGATAAATAAAATGGAATATATAATACAAGTAGCTTTAACTTTTTTCTTTCTAGAAAGGAAACAAATATTGAGTACCTACCATGGATCAACCACTGTGCAGCCACTTAAGTCACTCCATTTAATACCAGTGTCAAGTCTTCAGCTTGACGGAGGCTACCACCTCCACTGGAAAACGAGGTTCCGAGAGGTTGTGTAACTTGCAGTAAATCAGTCCATGGAGAACTGTATTTCTAACTTTGTGTAAGTAAAACCCCAAGACACTAAGTGAACAGGGACACCCGAAAGCTGGTGGAATGGTCTCTTACGAATTCACTTTATATCAAACCCTAAAGGCCCTCTCGGACTGTCCCTTCCTCTCCATCTTTTGTTGACGTCTGGTGCTCAGATGACCCTTCCTTTCTTACCTGCACCCCCGGCTTCTTCAACACCTGTGACCTTCCTTATTCCCTTCGGTTCACCTCAAGCGTTGCTGCCTGAAGTGCAGCTCTACTTAAATTCTGCTCAAAACCCCCTCAACGGCTCCCCTTCTTCTCAACGGAAAACGTCGTATTTTCCATGCTGGGCATTCAATAGCTTTCACCTTTGGGAACTATTATAAGTTAAAGTATTCAATGCTCCGTTAAAACCGGATGGGTCTTCTACTCTACAACGTGCCACGAGCCTTCCTGCCCAAACCTTTACTTCTGCTGTTTCCTCTCTCTATAATGCTACTTCTGACCTTACCCCCTGATCTAACGCTGTCCTCCAGCAGCACGCTTATCTGCACCCTCTTTCTAGCTGTCCTCATCGTACACCGCCTTGTATTACGGTGATATGCGTCCATTTTTCACTCTTCGCTATTTTTCCTCAAGGGTGGGTAAAAAGCACTCAGAAATGAAATACCCTGTAAGTGATCACAGCTTTACGAGTGACAAAGCAAATGGAAGGGCTGTGGCGGGTGGACCAGCGGAAAGTTAAGCAGCAGCGCCTTAACCGACAGGCGACGGAGCACCTCCCCGGAGTCTTCTAATGGGAGTGTAGTGCCGTGCTGCCGCCAGGCTGGAGAGGGCGGGCAGGGAGGTGGTCCCGCATCGCTACCGTGGGCGATCGGATGAGCGGCCCCACCCAACTCCGAAGGGCGCCGGCGGCCCAGCATGGCCCCACATTCCGATCCCAGGCTTAGGCGTCAGCCTCCCCCGAGCACAGGGAGCAGGGGTGCTCGGCCGGAGACCACGGGGAGATGCAGGTTCTCGGCCTTCTCAGGGAGCACATGGCAGAGCCCCTCCTAAGCTCGCGCAGGCGCAGAGCCACGGCCTCGGCCGCCTCCCCTCAGCCCACCGCGAGCGGGTCCCTGTGCAGTTACCTTGAGGGCCTCAAGGCCCATAAGACGGGACTTGCGGTCTTGATCCTTGATGATAAGGAAAGGCCGCCCATATTCATCGAAGGCGAGGGTCCCCATGGACGCCATAGTGCAGCAGCAGGAGTTACTTTCCCCCAACCCGCGGAAACCGCTACAGAACCGAGATCTCACTTTTCTCTCGCGGGAGGGCTCGAAAGCTTGCGCACGCGCAGTACAAGACGCCCGGAACTTATGTTTCAACTAAGACTAATTTCACGCCAAACAGTATCTTCTGGAATCGGCGGCCTTCGGGAACTTCTATTAGCCAGGAAGCCGTGGGGGGAGGTTTGAAGACACTTCCTGGAAATCTTAGGACACACAAGTCAACAGCAGATTAAATTTGTCATTTCTTAAAACTTTACCAATGAGAGTTTCTCGATAGTGGGTTCCAACGAGGAATTCATTGACTTAAAGCATTATTTCCTCATTTCTTCCCACTCCGGCTGCGAGAAGATGGTAGGACCCACTTCCGTATTTTTTTTTTTTTTTTTTTTTTTTTTTTTTTTTTTTAAGCCTGTTGGAAATCTCGCGATGGAGGGAGGAGGAGGTGAGGCCTGAACGGCTTGGAGCTCCTGTGGCCGTGGGAAGGGTTGCGGGTGGGCTGCGGTTTGAGGTCTCTACAGTCGAGCCGGTGGCCAGGTGCGAGCAGCTGTCCTGGTCTCCAGCCTGGCGTTCGGTGCCCAGAGCTCCAGGCCGCCGCGCCGTGCCCGCGCCGGTTTCGGCTATCGTGGGCGGCGGGCGCGTTTCCCGGTGCTAGTTTCTCTCTGCCAGGGACTGTTGTGTGCTCCTTGGGGCAAGCGACGCAGCCGTTTGCACGATCTTAAGGAATAGGGATAGTGGAGGCACACTGATGCATTGGAATCACAGCTCTGCCGCTCTTCATAGCTGTGACTTTGGGGAATTAAGCTCTTTGTCCCTCGGGTTCCTTGTCTGCAAAGTGACGGTGGTAAAGGTAGTGCTTGCCTTCCAGGGCTCCTGTGAGTTTCAGGGAGAACGGTGTCTGGCCCTTAGGAAGCTGTGTTTAAGTGTTTATTAAATTCACATTTTGCACAAATGGTCCAGTAAGTTGCCACGGTTATACAGCTAGTAAGAGACAGAGTTTGCACAGCTTGATGCGGTGGGTCCCACACTTTTTTTTTTTGAGACAAGGCTGTAGTGCAGACTGGAGTGCAGGGGTGTGATTTCGGCTCACTGCAGCCTCTGCCTCCCGGGTTCAAGCGATTCTCGTACCTCAGTCTCCCAAGCAGCTGGGACTACAAGCACAGGCCACCACGCCCTCTAACTTTAGTATTTTCAATAGAAACAGGGTTTCACCATAGTGACTAGGATGGTCTCGAACTCCTGACCTCAAGTGATGTGCCCGTCTAGGTCTCCCAAAGTGCTGGGATTCAGGCGTGAGCCACTGCGGTGCCGGGCTGGTCCCACTTTTAAGCCCTATATTGTGCTGCTTCAGAAAGATCTTGGCAACCGCAAAGATGTCCTCTAAATCTCTTATGCTACCTCCCCTCCGCCCCCACCAAGATCATGACCTAGTATTTTATAGGTTTAGATTCATTTGTTGAGGGGTTCCAGCCTTGCTTCTCCCCTACTGCCGTAGGACAGGGACTTAACTAATAAAGTTATTTTTTTCCCAGACTTTATTAGGTACTCAATAAATGTTGAAATGGATACATACACTATATAACATTTGACCCTGGCCTGAAAGTCAAGATCTGACTTGGCGCCTGTGGTCCCACCGTCCCTGGGGACTGAGGCAGGAGGATCGCTGGAGGCCAGGAGTTCAGTTTACAGTGAACCATAAGCGCACCACTGCACTCCATGCTGGGTGGCAGGAGATTCTGTCTCTAAAACAAAACAGGAGGGACTGACTTTGTCATGGGATGGTTGGTGGTCAGTTAAGCTCTTAATGCTTGGCATAGTTGCACTCTGGACGCAGAGTAACACTTCAAGGCCATTTTAGATTTTGAAGCCAGGTCTTATTTCACTTTAGCTTTGCCAATTCAGTGTTTCCTCATTAAAAACGGTGACTTCTGCAACTCATTTGGCTCATTCAATTGTGAAAAATAGGAAGTGTCTCATGGCATCCTCTGTGGTTTATTTATGCTGTAGTTATTAAACTGGTATGCATACACAAGTGCACAATGAACAGTCCTTAAGAGTTGTGATATTCCAGCATAAGCCCCACTTTAAACATGTGGCTGGTTACTATTCCAGACAGGCTCCTTCCCTCTTCCTGGCCTTTTTCTTTTGGCTTGAATTTGGGTAAGAACCCTGGGTACCTTATTATACACCTGTCACTGCCTCTAGCTTCAGCTGATCCAAAACTGCTACTGAGAATTGAAGTTTTCAGCCACTAGTGGAAGTCAATAACCAAGCAGGGTCTGGATACCGTAGAAGTTCACCTCATCCTGTGTTTGACTTTCAAGGGTAGACTCCTCCTAAGTGCTCAATGAAAATAGCCAGTGGCCACTGCAGCTGTTCTTTAATAGAAAGACTCCTTGTTCCAAAGAACACCTGATGGAAAGTTCTTGCCATTTATTTATATTGAATAGTCTGGCAGTCTGAACATATTCTGTTAGAAAGATTTGTAGAAACACTGTTGATTTTAGTTGTGAATATTCAGGGCCTGATTTTCACTGATGAAAGTCAGTACAGGATCTGGCCTGGAGGCACTTTGGGAGCCTGAGGTGACAGGATTGCCTGAGCCCAGGTGTTTGAGACCAGCCTGGGCAGCACAGGAAGACCCTGTCTCTACAAAAAAAATTAGCTGGGCATGCTGGTGTGAGCCTGCAGCCCCAGCTATGTGGGAGGCTGAAGAGGGAAGGCTGCTTGAGCCTGGAAGGTGGAGACTGCA